TCGGACAGCTCAGATCTCCGAGTACATCAACCACAGCGTTATGACCGACTGTATTACTCACAGCGCCATTATGGCCATCTCGTGACATCAAGGATACAACGATTTGCCCTTTGACAACGTCCGTATCATCAGAATGCGCTTTACATAGGTCCAAACGTTGATCTACAAGTATGTATATCGTTAACTAATCTTTGTAAAACGTTGTTTACAATGCATAAGATGGCTCAAAATTAATAATACATAAAAAAAGATATTTATTATAATAGATTTCGTACTTAAAGAGGCAGACTATTTCGAAATAGTTAAATCTAAACGTTTCTTTAAATTTTTTTAAATACACATATTGGAATACAGAAAGTAACAATTTCAATTTTTACTTTACTAAATAGTAATTTTGATAATTAATTCATGATTACTAGTTTCGTTAAAGTTTATTTTATTTTTACAAAATACCACAGAAAACTATTTTATTAAAACTAAATATACCAAACAACAAAATTAAATAAGTAAAGTAATAATAATGTGCCTAATTGCCTTTAATTGTAACCAATATTCTTTATTTTATTATTAAATGAGACATTTATTATTTAATTCTTTAGTCGTATTTTTTAGCCTTTATTCTACAGCTTTGTGAAAAGTATTAGGAACACTTATAATATTATTATAGTTATATCCGACATGCATTCTTAGAATTTATTTTTTTGTCAGTGATTCGTTGGATGGTATGTTTATTCTAAAATGTAAATACAAATATGGTTTCAATAAAGTAATAAATGATAGAGGACATCAATCGAAAATATTTGTATTTTTCCAATGAAGTATTATTCTATTGTAGGTGCTCGTAGGTGATAATATATGCGTCAGTTTCATATTCTACTGCTCATATTTTTAAAAGTTGAGTTCATTTTTTGTAAATAATGCCTAAAAAATGCATAACAGCATTTGATGATTCAACTTTTACACAAACAGGGCAAATCTCAGTTTGAAATAGCCCAAAGAGTTAAATTTTTGTGGAAAGCTAAAGTTAAGCGTGGACCTACTATTATACTAATAAAAGCAATAAATATTGACTAATTTTAAAAGTATATATAGTTTTATTTTTATCTGCCTTTACCACAATTTAAAATAACTTGGTAGTTATAAGGTGCCTAATGTTTTTGCACAAGGCTGTATATCAGCTATTTTAAAATTTAATAACTTTGTCAAATATATGTTAAACTTTTAAAGTTGTTAACATAAAAATTTAATTCAAATATTCTAAAAATATAATATACTTTTCGGAAATGTAAAAACAAATCCTTTATATTTACTCAACAAAATAAACTGCCTTTTAATTCAGTTTTTAATTTCTACTTTTTGCTAAGTATTGCGTTTTTTATTTAGTAAGAATAAAATCTAATACATAAAACAAATACATACATCCTGTGTCCTTAAGTCTTTGGATAGTATTTGATAATATGCGTACACATCCCAAAAACCCTCCGTTCTGTTTCTTATGGAATTTTCTATAATTCCAAACAGATATGGTGATTCCATCGTTCTTTCCGATATATCTGTATGAACAAGTAATAGTTATTTTCTTATGTATTTATACTCAATGGCCGGTATTCATAGTCAGTTCTTATATTCAAGACCGTCTTAAGTTCATTCTTGAGGAGTTACGAACCAATCAGAGGACCGCTTTAGCATCTTAAGACATTACTTAAGACAGTCTTGAAATAAGAACCGACTATGAATACCGGCCATAGTCTCTATACTTATTGTTAGCCTTAAGAAAATACTCACAAATCATAATATTGATTCCATTTAGGATCAAGAGTAGCTTTGCAGGTATCTGTGCTGTGACACTGACCGGAACCTTCGACAGTTATTTTAGCAAAGGGATCCGGTAAACCTAAAAAAAATATTTTTTTAAATTACATTCATCTATATTTCGATCTACTATCTTTATAGAAAATAATACTCACGAAATAAATCCTTTCTAGCGAGATTGCGGGCACATAAAACTAAAACATATACAATCATTATACAAATGGATATTTGCACATATTAAAATTAATGTCATACTAAAATACTTCTAACCCGTTCAGGAAGCGCGTCGTTAGCGTTACTGTATCATTTTTTATTCATTAGATGTAAAACAAGGAATAAAATAATGCAATAGCGCTGATAATGCACTTATCTCGAATGCAGCCATAATCCTACTATTTTTTACCATCATATACGAATCAATATAATGATACATTTATATAAATTTAGTAAATCAATCACATAAATAATTATTGTATGTATGTGTGTGTCTAAGTTCAAGATTTATATATATTCTCTCTCTCTCTCTCTCTCTCTCTCTCTCTCTCTCTCTCTGTAATCGAATAGATTTTATAAAATTATTCAATAATAATCTATAACTTCTACAGTATCTCTTTTGTTTATACCCATTTTATATTGTTAAAATATTCTCTTAACTATTGTTATGATTAATATGATTGTATCATACAATTAACTGTACTATTATGACAAAATTGATTCGAATTTAAGTAGAAATGTTATAACTCATGTTAAATGTCATTAACGATGATTGAATAGCCTATTTACAGAATAAAAGACAAATAGCCAAACATTAATAATAAAACTAATTCGAGAGATAATAATAACTAAAAATAAAACTTGATTAAAAATATCATAATTCTAAGTTCTACATTAATGTACATCAATGTATCTTGTGTCTGTCGATCTTGTATTTATTAAGATAGACTCTTAACTATTACTATAATTAAATTATATATATAATCGTATCATACAGTTATGTTTACACTATTGATAAAATTGATTCAAATTTAAAAACGAATGATGTAACTCATGCTAAATGTTATTAAAAAAATGATCGAATAGCCTTTTTAAAAAATAAAAGAGGAACTAAATTTGTAAAGCACAAAACTAGCTCGAAAGATAATATTGAGTTAAATTTGAGGCGCCTCGTTAAAAACATTGCGAATGAACGACACATCAAATGGTCCTCACGACCGTCTATCCAGAATTAAAAAACGCTTTCATCGGTCTCCCGGAGAGATGGCTCACGGTGGGACCCGACCTCTCGTTGCGACTTCGCCGTCGAGGAAGTTGGCGCAACCGGAGGGCCACGACGAAAATCGTGATCTTCACCTAGGACACGCATTATCTGCGTGGGTCTCCCGAGGAGACCAAGCAGACACGGTTTGACGTTCACGCGTCGCTCGTCGTGGCTCCCTTCCCCGCGTGGCGGAACGCGGTGCGTGCGTGAGGGCACGTCGATTATCAAAACAGGCCGAAGTGCGTGGGCAGGGTGCTCTCGTCGTGCGTGCGAGCCGGAATTTCGTCCGCGTGAGAGGCCCCGACTTTCTCGCACGACGAAGACGCACGACGCCCCGAGGAAGAGACGGAATCACCGTACTCACTCGTCAGACGGATCTTCATAGCCCCGTTCCTCCTGCTACCGCCCGGGTTCGACATCCTGCACGCACATTTAACGCTCTGGGCCGCGCATCGGCGCCGTAATTGGCAAAATAAAGCGCAGGTTACTCGCCCGTGCCAAGGAAACGCGCGACGGCGACGGTGTCCACTACTCTCTCGCACCACCACGCACACATATGCGGGTACATACATACGAAAGCGCGTGCGAACGGTCTCTCATCGAGCGCACTATCGACTTGGAAACAGCCGGTCGATTCTCGGAGCAGACTTGCACGCGATTTCGAGAGGCCTCGAGCTCGCGGAACGTTTATTTTAACACTACTTCAAGTCGTAGGCGTAAATCGATGTTCGGATGGATCGTGACGGATCGTGAGATGGATGTACTTTCTGGCGAAGAAGGTAAAATTAAATAGAGTAGGAAAGAAGACGAAATTATTTGTAGCACGTTTAATTGATCGCAGCCATATTCTGGTTGCTTACTCTCGATGTATCGAAGCGTTTTGTGTCTGTTGGTTGCCTGTGTGCGCAACACGAACGTTAGGAATTTTAACGCTTCCCGCGTTGGGAAATAAAACTAGAAATGCGTTCTATATGTCACGCATGATGCGTACATATATACTGAAAAAATATTTTACGAAATTGTAATAAATATTTGTTTAAATAGTACCGATGGGGCATTCGCTTACAGTAAATATTTATTTAATTAAAAACAATATTTGTAAATAATTTATTTATATTTATAATAAGTATTATTCTTTAATTGAACAAATATTTATTAAAATTTTGTAAAATTTTTTGTAGTGATGATGTATCATTTTATTCTTGTCGCTCTATTATACTTAATATTCCAATGAGTCGACATATATAAGACAACTTTAATTAAGATATTTTTCTTTATGAATTATACCTTAAAAATCTTTCTTTAAAAACTTTTTAATATTATCTAATAAGTTGATTTTAAATATTCTGCTCATTTTTTGGGATATCACATTAACTAAATATATATAATAAACTTTTAATAATACATAATTTGTCATCCCTGATTTACTCTCGATCTATTTTTCTATGTCAAATTATAAAGATTAACAATTCCATCTATTAACAAAAATTCGCAAATATTTGACAATTTAATCGTCGATTAAAAAGTATGATTTAAGTTGTACCCTCAGACTAATTTTCTGAAATTTATCCACGTACAGACTCGGACAAAAGTTCCGTCATATAAAACTTCCGGTATTTTATTACAGATCTGTTTTTTATGGTTAAACTATTGCACACCTCTGGAATTTAAAATGAAATAGATATATATTCGATATTTGACTAAAACGAGAGAGAGAAAAAGTTCTGTCTAGCGCATGAATATAAAAGAGATCTTATGAACATCGCTTATCTAGTACAATGTGATAACAAGTAAGCCACTTGTAATATTTTCTCATTTTTCAATCAACGTATCGATTAAAAAGGAGGAAGTATTAGGAAGGCATGGATATTGGTGATACAAAAACGTCTTCAATATTTATTCATAGTTTTTCTTTATTGTTGAAGTCTTATTGTTAGTGTAAAAACGTACAAATGAAAGATAAATATTTTGCGAATATTCATGAAAGGATGGCAGATATAACTAATTTATTCAGCGCCAAAATACAATCAAATGACGTTGTCTAATTTGTATATAACATGTCATGATACATATCGTTCCTTATTTTCCTTATTATCGCTACTTGTTAAATCTCAAAATAGCATGACTTAAACCTTAAACTTACAAGTGCGATATCAGTACGAGTACATTATTAATGATTATAATATCAACTGGCCTGCTTCTACAAAGGGACTGCCGCTTATTAATGTTAACATACAATTATATAATGTATAGCCTTGATTAAATATAAAGCACCTTCAAAATTGACATTCTAACAAAAAGTAAATTTAAAATTTATTCAGAAATAAAAATATTTCTCTTTTGAATAATTTTAATATTTCATTAGTCTTTTTTATTGGTATTCAATACCAATAATTCAATACCGTTATTTTTCGCAAAGGAATTGAAGGTACTTTATTCTTATATAGCCAAGGCTGTATAATATGCAAGAATGTATCATTGTCATGATCCCTGCACGTTTTGTACTATCATCGGTTAGATATCATCACGAAGTCGCATTTATACCCAAAAGCCTGCCTACTTAAACGGATATCTAGAAATTTTTCTTTATTAATAAGAGGAAGTGTCTTGCGAATACCTTATCTTTATTAAATTTGTGAAGATTTTATATCAGAATCTTGACAAGTTAAGAGTGAATGAAAGGTGGACTGATCCCGATGAACAGACACTTCGTGCGAAGTGCAAGACAAATGGCACAAGTTGTGAATTTCACGAAGCTTCGTAACTCGTGCTTCGCATTATTCAGAGAAATCGGCGGAACTTCGCGACGTTGCGCGTGTGATGCGCGTTCAGCTACACTTGGCTACCCCGCTGAAAAGAAAGTTTCTTTCGGGAAACTCTTTGGCAGTATTCAATCCCTTACAGATTAGAAAAGATATCCGCCGATCGCGGAATGTGATTAACACCGATTGCCGGCCGCGCAGTCCCTCGTTGTACTTAAAAGCGACTCAGATCTCAGTTCTCCCCCCGAAAAGTGAGGAACGCGTCCACTAGGAAAACGACACCCTCAATAATACTGAGAGAGCCTTTGGCCAAGCCAGTATCGCGAAATGACGATCTGTATGCTAGCTTCGAGAAGAGGTCGATGTTAAGTGCACCCGCGGTGATGAACAAAGCGCATCCAATAAGTGAAAAGAAGAGATCCTAAAAAATAAAAAAAGTCGCATTTGTAAAAATCTGTATATAATTATCCATTTTGTCTACATATTTGTTTGATGTGTCTTTTTTTATATTAGTTGATTCATTTCGTATTTTATTCTGTTCATAAAAATTATATAAAAAAAAATAGTTTACAAAATATTTAATAATTTATGTCATGACAAAATAAAGCATAAAATATTTCGTAAATCATGGTTTTTTGATATTTCTATTTATTTTTATATGTAAAATAATTAGGAAAATTATATTATAATAAAAATAACATATGATTCCACTTAAAAAAGTAGAGGTGCACATTTTGTACCTCTTTTCCTCCACTTAGAAAAAAATAACGTGATCAAAATATGTTTCTCTCAAAATCATTCCATTTTTATCCGAAACATTTTTTCGTATCTTCCGTATTTTTCGAGTTATTGGCTTGTCACGCTTTACGTGGGTCGTCCATATAGTATAACTTTATACAATATTACGATTTCTATCTGACGAAAAATCTATCTTGCAGTATCTGTTGAAACATACCACGCGGCGGTTCACCGGCGTTCCCATCACGCTGCCGATAAACAAGCCGACCAGAATAATCAGGTAGCCTCCAAAAGTGCCCATGGTTATCATCACGGTAGGTTGATCTCCCGCATTGAAGGAGTTGTAGTGCAATCCGATAAGGATGCACACCAACAGCTATAATTAGAAATGTACATTTAATGGATGAAAATTTTTCTTAAATTATGCGCTAAAATATCTTCTTTTTTTTCCATCAAAAACGAAGGTTCATCAGAAATAAAACTATATCGTACTCTCAATTATCTCTTGCTTTTATCATTCATACGGAAACTAGTAGTTTTTTGCTACAAAATAAAGGTGCGGATATCGCCTGCGAAACTGGGTCGATTCTCTTTCAATATCATCATAAATAAAATATTGCCCATACTATTCTGCCCACTACTATGTTCCAGTTGGCAAGTTTTTATTTCTAAACAACAGGTCATAAATGTGATCGTTTGATAGTCCACCGGATCATTAACGCAGTTATAAGCACGTAACAATAATATCTACATAAAGTATGTCATTATGTACGATTGTACGAATAATAAATACATCTTCGATCAAGGCTGGTCTCAAAATTGATTGAGCCATAGATCTTTATGAAATGTATAATCTATAAATACAATGTTTATACAAATTTAGATTTCTTTATTTTAGTTTAAAAAAACTCGATATTTATTTCTATATAAAATATTTTTAATGATTATTATGGTGTAATAATAATGTATAAGAAATTAATAAGAAATTACTAATACTGATTATCTCTCTTTGACTAACTAGTAACAAAAATTGAAAACACTCGGGGATCGTTTTATTTATATTCTATATTTGTATTTTATGTTTTTTTTAAATGTATTTTTCTTCGTAGAAACCGAAAATAATCATTATAATAACGACAGACTAAAGGAAAAATTGGTCCATTGAAATAAAATGAATAAAATCCTTACTCGCATTTGATCCAATTTGGAATTCATTTCTAAATCATTGAGGCATAACAGACAGTGATTTCATAACGATGCGAATAAGGATTTTATTCATTTTATTTCAATGTACCAATTTTTCCTTTAGTCTGGCGTTATTATAATGAGTATTTTCGGTTTCTATGAAAAAAAAAAATACATAAGAAAGAAAATACAAATAAAACGATCCCCGAGTGGTCAGAAAACTAAAAAATGTCTACCCTCCTTTCTGGGCATTTTATTTCGCAATATATAATTTTTATCTTGAAGTCATCCATGGCGTCAACATTAAAATTGCACAAGTCGGCCTTCGATTCGATGAACACATTCGCCTAACGTCGATTAGTGTATCTCAAAAGAATCACTCGGACTTGGTCACCCACGTGTCGATAAACACGTGATACGTCGCATTTACTGTAGCCAGAGCTTCGTCACTAAGGTGTGCCATTATAATATCGCACGATACTAGTAATATAAATATGTACTTTACTCGTATGTCGAAAAAGCAGTGCAATAAATTTATCTATCTATACATATCAATCACTATTAATTCCATGCATGATTTGTTTAATAATTTTTTTATTTTGCAGAATAAGCATCATTATTTTTTTTGTATTTATTCAACGTAACGTCGCGTCGTACACTAATAATATTTATTAATTCATTTTAAATGTTTTTCGCTTACAAATTCGTGTAAATATATCGTTACATGGCTTGTCAGCAAGTAAGTTAAAATATTTTAAATTATTTAACTAAATTACAATTGAGAAATAACATTGTATAATCGTTAAAATTTTACCAAGAAATCAAACAAAGAAAAAAGTTAAAATTAAATTTAGGAAACATCAGGCGTAGTTAACTCACACGTAAAGATACACGGCCCGGTTTCACGTCTCGCGCTCTTATGATATCGCTGTGCATGCTCTTAGCATCGAAACATTAAGTACCTGTGTCTGCTGATATCGCAAGCACGTTAAGGATGTATCTGAGATATTTCAAAATGATAGCATAATTATGAAAAAATTACAGATTATTCTAAATCGTATTTAAAAGTAATACCTACAATATATTATTTTGGTGAAGGTTGGTTATCTAGATCCACATAAGTTATTTTAATAAATAGTAGTACTTTTTAAAATCTGCGTTCGAATAGAAATGTATGGAAATGTATTATAAAATAAATGACAAAAAATCTTTATTTTTTAATGTAAGTACTTTGTGTATTCAAGATTATTTATGTAAAGTGCGTGGATTAGTTGTACAGTAAATAAACAAAATTCGTGTTTGTTCTAAATCTCTATAATCAGTGAATCGCAATGCAACTCTTTGCATAAGTTATTTTGAATACTTAAAATACTTATACAAATTTTTTAATTTTGTTATTATTTCTTAAATTTTAATTTATAACCTTAAACATAATAAAATAAATAAAATACAAAAATGTATTGTTCAATAAAAATAGAATGTTATAATAACACTTTTATACTTGTATAGGTTTTTAAAAGCATAAATATTAACACATTTGTAAAAATAACTCAGAATACATCCTTAATCGCAGCATTAATTTGAAAACAAAGTTAAATAAATGTATGTGTTCAACAAAGTGAATGTTTTGGCAAGACAGCTGTTTTAAATTTGACTGTTTAATTAATAATGCCTTTTATCACTTGGCGCTTTTATATATAGTAGCTATTTTATACTTGTAGAATTATATTAATAGTTAATGCGAGGAAAAATACAATCATTTCGATGCATTATTAAAATCGAAATTTACTCGAAAAGAACTATTTTGCTGAAACATTAATAAATATAAATAAAAATTTAAACAGATAAAAAATAATTTTTTGGCCGTCAAAATAATTATGTAGAAAATTTAAGCAATGCTGCAAAAAATTTTTATATATACTCTAGCAATTCTATTCTAATAGTTTAAGCATCTTATGTATTTATTTTGGTAGAATAATATAAAAATGTTTTTTTCAGATCTGTATCTAGCTAAATTTTTAGATACTTCAGTAAAACCGTTCTTTTTATGTAATATCACAAACTAGAATTTCCCATCGCTTAAAAATACAAACGAGATGCTTACTATACACAAAAGGCGCGGAGAAATACTTCTTAAGGCACGTAGGACTCAAAGAATCCTAACGGAAGCTTCTTGCACCAATCGACTTCCGGGCAACTTGAAGCGGACCGTAATAAGAAGAGAGAGAGGACACTCTTTGCGGCAATAAGCGCCGATTATGTCACTCTCCATTCTCACTGTCTTACGAATCGCGAAAGATATGCAGCGCGGAATGTCGCACAACTAACAATATCCCGTGACTTCGAGGCGCACGTTGATTTTCTCGAATTCGAAAGCGTGATCCAAATCACGATGAATGCGAGCATAGCAAGAAATTGGATCAATCGATCGGAAGAAACAGCGCAGTAACGTTAAAAATAAATTCGAGGGCATGGTGGAGCTCTCAAAGAAATACGAAGCGACCTCGAGGATAGTGTGTTTCTGTTGCGGCTGGAAATACGTGCATGAAGCACTATAATAGTTATATACAGCTTGAATCTCGCACTTTCACAGAAACTTAGTTTTCTACGTAATTTCGAATGCTGAGAATAGGAAAAAGAGCTCTTTAGAGCAATTTATTCTTTTAGTTTGCAAGTGCAACATGTATGCATTTCTATCTAGTTATGTTAATTATTGCAATGTTTTGTAATATGACATCATACGATTGAGAATATGCTTTGAATGAGAAAATCTAATTATCATCATTTTTCTCTCTTACAATGCTGCATAAAATTTATATTGAAATGATTACGTGATAGGATTATGCTGTAATTTGTTCCTTAAATCGTATATTGATGTATATCATCCACACTCTCTCATAAAGATAAAATAACACTACGCTGTTACAGTTGAAATTTTGATCTAACAATCTAGCATCGTAAATAATTAAAAATCTGCAATACTATATTTAAATAAAGATAGCGCACGAAATGTTATGCCAATTAATTTTTTACGCTTTGGTAATTAATTCTGTATCAGTAAATAATACGATATGTATAAAACAAGTAATATAACATTTTGAGTGTCACCCTTTATCGATATACTTACAAGCTCAAGGAATTTTATGATCGACAGCCTCGTAATTGTAGTCATTTCGTCTGATCTGTAAATAGAAGAGGAATAATATAGAAATCAAATAATCATGTTATTCATTAAAATAGAAAAAAATGCACTTTCGCTTGTAAAAAAATTTACATGTTTAGATTTATAAAATTGTACGATGAGTTATATTATACGAGTGCGTATATTGACGGGCACCGAAATGCGTCGTATAAATGCAAATATGATACAATGACTATAAGCACAGAATATAAGTCGCATGAAAACGTAATAAACAGTAAAGAGGAACGGAGACATAATAATCAATATAATCATACTACAATCGTATAAACGAAACCATGGTGTTAAAGTGTCTCTTTTAAAAAGGCATAAATTGCATATTGTAAAATAGTAATACGACGTTCAACAATACGTATGACTAATGCATATGCCTAGTAAACTTCCACGAAACGCAATTACATTTTGCATATATCAGGAGACATAGTAGTGTCTCGGTGCTAATATAAGACAAGTGCAGCGACATAAAAATACATATACAAGCATAATAAAAAAGTAAAGAGAAATATAAATCAGTTTATTTCATCTAAAATTGGCAAACAGGGAACGCAGACCGAATTCTTTTTCTCTTATAATTGCTACAAAACTATGAAACAACGTTGTTGGTATTTAAATATAAAACTATAAAATAACGTTTTTTTAATTTCATTTTCTCGTGAAAAATCCCATTATTATATAGTCGATTACAAAGTATTTGTATACAGGTGAAATCTTTTTTAAAGAAGCCTTACCTTTATTTTTAAAAACGACGCTGAAACTGGCCGCCACAACTAGCCGCCGATCAGGGCCGAATACGCAGCGGGCGCACTCGGCCCGTGACGGGAATTTTTATTCTTGTGTACGAGAATCGTTTAAAATGTTATAAAAATTATTTACCGAACTCCATACATAAAGTGTGGAGTAGATAAAATAGGTTATATTATTATAAATAAAATAAAATTATAAATAAAATAATTTTTCATGAAGTACGATTTCTTGACAAGCCCGCACTCGCTGCGTATTCGACCCTGATCGGCGGCTGGCTGCGGCGGCCAATTTCAGCATCCTTTTTTAAAAGGTGAATATTAATTAGCAATTTATTAACAAACAATAAAATAAACTATATTTCTTAAGATTATTTTACCTAAAAAAATATGTAATAATTAAAATATATTATCTTAAAAAGCGAAAATATAAAAATTATTTGGACATACTAAAAATTAAAAAAGTATTAGTATAGGATTGAGAAATTTATATATAACATATTGTTAATTAATATATTTTTTACAAATAAGTTTTTTTTATAAAAGTTTTCTCTATACGAATACTTTTTGAACTCACTATATGTCCAAATGAAAATTCTTCATGCAATTAATGATATCGAACTATGTAATCTTACATTAACAGTTTATCAGAAACCGGAAGACACACCGCATTACAACAAATTGTGAGCTCGTATAGTCTATAATGACATGTCGTGACCACCGTGACCTTAATATATCATCGTGACATTTATTGCTATTTTAATGACCGCGAGTCTAAATTCAACTCTTTGATCATTTCCGCAGGTTTTTGTGTGTTGACATTTTTATGTGTTTTACTTGCCTTCTCGTGGAGGGAATTATTTATAGCAAAATTTGACGCTGTTTCTTCATATATAACAATAAAAATTTTATGTGTACCTTAATATTGAATTAAATATTAATAAATGCATGCTGTTATCTATATGTGTGCATATTTTAAAAATATTTTATCAATAATTAATATAATTTGTTGAACATATAAAACTATTGAATCGGAAGTAATACGAAATCGAGGGGCACCGAAACTTAATATTATAACAATCCACTTCCATGTTATATTTAGGTACATCGGGTAACTCTCGGGAAAGTTACTCACGGAATAACGAACGTTTCAGTTCATAACTCCGTAAAGCTCGTGTTATACTATGCATTATGAATGCAGATTGTATTCGAAATTACGAACTTTGTTTCATCAATTCAATTGACTGATCAACGATTTGCAAGACACAATTTTAATCCAATCCACATTCACAATATATAAATGTAACACGAACTTTTCCTAGAAGGGAAAAATGAAAATATAAATATATGTATGTATATATACTCGTGTGATATAATTATACATTAAATTGTGTGTAATAATCATAATAATTTTAAATCCTTAATCAATAATGTACGTGATAACAAATTAATATCAGCAAAATTGTTTTGTGATATTATGTCGCCATATGCAAATATTGTGCATGCTTAATTGGAATTATTACAAACTTTACGTCATCTCTCGTTGGATGACTTGAGCGGGTCGGCACGTATGATGACCGTGACATACCCAAGATGGGTAGAATGCAACAAAACTAAAATAGCGCAACGTGTGTTCTGAATACTTATATCGTCATTGAGTAAGAAGCGCTTATTAGTCAATCAAGCAATGTAACCAATTTTTTAGATTTAGATGTGTGAATCATTAAATAAAATTGATATAGCAACGTTCAGTGAATTTATTTCAATCATTTTCTCTCAACGCGCGACAATTACATTAAGAGAAAATATTAATAATCCCCTCTCTGGAATAAATATATACAAAAGAACAGATACTCGGTACGTATCTGTTCTTTTGTATATATATCACGGTTTCTTCCTACATGAAAAAGAAATAATTTTACTGAAATGTCTAACCATTTAAGTAGATGTGAAAATCTGAAAGAATTTATGAAAACAATTATGTAGAAAATTTAAGCATAATAAACAATGCTCGAGGCGATGTTACAAAAAATTTTCACATTCCAGTAACCAGCTTGCTTACATAATTATTTTGATACAGTTCAAGAACAATATTTTTAGATCTATATCTAATCTATATCTAATCTAGCTAAATATATACTTCAACAAAACCGTTTTTCCGAATAACTTTAAATATGTCTTAATATTTATTCTTCACTAATTTATAGCCAAATGGCACAATGTAATAGACATTTAAGTTATTTACGAGAAATTTATATTAAAAATTTCTCGTGTGCCTTCTATACCGAGTACGCGAACAAAATTGGCAAATACGAGTAGCAAGCGTACCGTAACAAGTAATAAATTTTATTTATATTACATGACCTTACTTTATTTGTGATTGTTTGGTTCATTTCGTATTAATCGAGCAGAGACTGCTGTTTATGTTTACATAGTATACTATAGATACAGAAGGTGTACGAGAAACTTTTGATTCAAATTTCTCATGTATGCTTGCGTCATGCCATATAGTTGCTTATGTTAATTATAATAGGGGTATGTATTAAAACACACAATATTTAAAATTAGGCGAAATTCGTATGTACTTTACTTGGTCCTCCCCTCGTAACAAGTATTTATTTAAAAGAATTTAGAAACATGTAGGAATGATTTTAAAAATACTCATATTTTTCTTATTAACGCTATTTTGAATGGAAGTTCATCTTTACAATTAAAAACTCTTTTAACACTTTTTTATGTCTACTTTATAGATTGCAAGATGTTATTAATTAACGCTATTTTAATGTAAAAAAATTAATTCTTATTAAATGCTACTTTACATTATCAAAATTTTAATAACAAGAATTGTATTAAATTTTAAAAGTTCATAGGTGAAAATTCATTTATAGTAGAAAGGTTAGACAAATTAATTTGAAAATAATTGACAATAAGAACAATAGAAAATTATTAATATCTAGGAGATTTAACAATTAATAAAATATTTAGTACTGTCTGTGAACAATGTATCGAAATAAAAATACGGATAATTTAAATTGTTTATCATCTGCAACAATTATGTCAAAAATTTGATATGGGTAACAAGACCTCGTTATTGTTCATAATAATCTGCGATTTTAAACGAGACGTAGACTAAACGTTAAGAAGTAAATCGTGGTCAAGTAACACAAGAAAGGGACGCACTTTTTATACCGAAAAGGAAGACGCTTTCACAACGCTCACCACTGCCTTGACTCCGTTTTTATAATTTCTTTAGGACTCTTTCCCTTCCAAGGTTTTCAAAACAAAAATACATATTGATTGATTTGAAGAAAAATATTTACAGAAAAAAAAAATATATATATATAATGAAAATAGTTTCTAAAATCATTGAATATCAATATTTGTATTATCGTAACAATTAAAAACAAATATTTTGTATCTTTTTTTTTAGATTTCTAATCAATATCGCTAATGATTATTTTGTGACAAATAATTATACTATTTTAAGAAATAGTATAATTATTTAATTGAATGACAAATTGTATATCTAATACAAAGTACTTGCAAACTTGTTAATTTATATTTGATGACATATGATAATAATATACATACCATGATACGAGTATTATTTTATATTGTCTTTATCCTTAACGTCTTTACATATTTTCTCTTGCATTCCGTAACTAATATCGATTAAAAAATATCGTATTATGTGTATGTCATAAGAATATCAAGTATAAGATATTGTGCATAATTGGATACAGTTAGATATATAATTTGGAGCAAATTTCTAATAGCGGTTTTGTATTGGCTTATAAAATTTGAAGTCAATTTCTGATTAGTCACAAATGTTTTCATTACTTTAAATGACTGCGCATCCACGTGAATGTTATATATATACACCTGGTATTCTTACATCATATAGTATTGCGTACATACAAATGCGCGATATATTCGAAGTTCACGTACTTATTTTCTTCGCAAACTACATTACTTAAGATAAAAATATCATACAAGTGTCTCATTTGGTATGACGTAAATACTACGAATAACATCATTTATTGATATGATAAACTATTTGACAAAAAGAATTAACGTTTCCTCTTTAAATAAAATATTATACCTTATTTTCAATAATAAATAGAGATATATTAATGTATACTTTATTATAAGCTTCATATGTATATACATACATACATATATATATAAGCTTTATTTTATATATATATATATATATATATATATATATATATACACACAGACATACATATATATATTCTCTAAGTATCTTCAGAAATAAAAATTAAGCATTTAGTATTATAGATAATATCTTGTACCTTTCAACAAAACGTACTATATTATTGTGTGCCTGTACACACCGAAGCAACGTTTCGCGTCTTATTCTAATATCTCACTCTAACCGGTCAAGGCTAGTCGGCCCGCAAACCAGCACACAAAAGAACAGTACAAACAAAGAGCCTGGAGCAAGCGTTGGATGCGTCTCAAAACAGCGGTTAATGCAGCTTTCCGTAAAATTCCCGGTTTGCGAAAAACATGAAAGAAGATTGCCAAGTTCATTCATTCACGCGCGTCTCGGTGTCGGGCGTATTCGGTTCGGCGTCGTAGAGCGTACTTACGTGTTCACGCTTTCGATTCACCGGACGGTCGTAGCTGCTCGCGAGACGAGGGTTCAACGACGACTGATGCTGAAGACCGACCACGCATTGTGCAGGCGCGCGTCAGCTAGCCTCGATTTTTACGATCGACGGAAACACGCCGACTTTTACATCATGGTGTTCACGCATCGAACTAATACAGACGCTATGGTCCAGTGGCTCTCATTTTCTCCGTGAATCCGCTTGATAGACGCTACCATATAATGTTTTGTCATGCGTTTTAATGTAGAACGTAATTAAAATATGATTAGGAAGACCACACAAAATGGTAGTCATGTGTGCAACAGCATAAAGACTCATACGAGCCGAAGAAATGACGACGCGTCCTCTATAAAGGCGTGTTTATTCATTTTTGTAAACGATTATTTATAATTTAATATTTAACGCATTTTACAGTTAATATTTGTATTTGGAAAAAGAGGATTACTCAAACAGAACAACATGTCACGATAACGTCAAAATGTCGTTAAAATGACTCGCAATTGATTAAAAAATATCCTTTAATGATCATTTTTTTTAGATCAGACACTATTTTAACGTTATATTTCGATAACATAACAATTTTTGTTCTGTTTGAGCAAGAAGGATTAATAAGGAAATAAGTATAGAACTTCTTTTGCAATATATTTTGAAGAAGAATTAAATATATAAAGGAATATTTATAAACCTAATATATGTTTTTAAAGAGCATACATTAAATTAAAGCTAAATTAAATTAATTAATTTTAATATAAAGACATCTTTAATTAATTAAAATGTACTGATATAATTTTTTAGTATCATTTAGAATTTTCATTTCGATAATTAAAATACAATACTTCATGTCAAACATACATTTCAATAATAAATTACGAAAATTGCGATGTTCCCAGGTTAATTTTTCTAATTATCATCACATATAATAATAATAAACATTACCTTGTTAGTTAAAATGTTATTGGAACTTGCGCAAATAATTCCGAAATCGTTACTTAATTAAGAAATGTATTGTACATTGTTATTTGATCAACTCTGATCGACTTTTAAAGTGGCAATTTATTATACTTGTTTAATCGCGAATACGGAGATATTTAGTATTTACTTTTGGTTTTTTGCAATGACGTAATTATGAGATAACATCTATGAAATAAAAGAGAATCCAAGAATCGGATAGTGAGTCGAGGATTACGTCGATTCTACGCTTCAAACGTGACATCATAGCATTCGGTACGCGATGACGTATCGATTAAAAAAAAACATGAAAAATGCAATGCTGATCAGTTTTATAAAAAATTTCTAATATATTATTAAAAAATAAAAAAATTCTAATATATTTTATATTATTAAAAAAGAGTTCCTTACTTTAATTTTGTGTTATCATTAAATATTTAATAAAATTGAACATTTAATTAAAATTTTATAAAAACAAGGACTTCTCTTTTGAATTTAAATAAACAAACAAGTCATAAGTTTTTAATAAACGACAATATCAATTCCAGGACAATTGATAATATTTTAAAAAATCTAAAAAATCAATATGAGTAAGAATAAGGGCAATGAGCCAAATACTGAAAGCAAGAAAAATTTTTCAAATTAAGTATAATATAAAAATCCTGATATACGAAAAAGTAAATAATTCTTGATTAAACCGCATCGTTTTCGCCCTCCTGAATAAATAATATAAAATAAGGCCCAATAAGTATAAAACAATATGAATAATAATAAGGGCAATGAGCCAAATACTGAATGCAAGAAAAATTTTTCAAATTAAGTATGTATAATATAAAAATCCTGATATACGAAAAAGTAAACTAAAAAATCAACTCGTTATTTAAAGAGGCTCAAAATTCAGAATAGAATTTTCTTTTTACACGCTATGTAAATCAACAATAGTTGCACGCGTAGACCACGAGCTCGCATAATGATGAGATTCATCTATTGCCCGATATTCGAAATACATGTTAAAAAATGCACACGCATTGTTTAACATGTACTACCCACGTGTGAAGGATAAAACGCAGTCGTAGAGCAGTATCTCGAAATACCTTACGCCTGTACTCTATCCCACACACAAGTGTATCTGGCTCGCGTATTCGTGTTACGTTTTCGCTGCTTTGTTTCCGCCGGCGCTCTTCCACTGCTTCCACACCCACTCACAGACACAGACACGTGTGTATACTACCAGCAAATTACCCACGACCGTTCGCGTTTGCGTTCACGTTCATTAGCCTCCTTTCGCCGGTTACTCGCGATATAATACGCGTTTTCGCCGAGATCGATATATTCGCCTTAGATTTAACAGTATATAAAAGAATTTTTATTAGAATTTTATCGGACTTACAAATGTCTGCATTAAAGCAATTAAATTATATTAAATTATATATCGATATCAATATTAACTCTTTGAGGACCGGAACTTTCCATAAAAAGATTTAAAGAAAATTGTCTTCGGAGTTACTAAATTTGATTCTGGTTTCCAAATTTTTTAATTCAAATTTCAAATAATAATTTAATTAACGTGAAAATTATAAAGTATTATTTTGTTTTCTTTAGGATGATTCGATCATTCGAAAAGATTTTAATGAACGTAGGAGTTACTCCTTATCGATATGAGTCATTTCCATGAAACGTTCTTCGCTGAATATTGACATCATAAAATTATCGTAATTCTATGAAATATCACAGTATTAATAATAGTTTTGAGGTTCTTTCATGGGTATTTTCTTCAAAGTGTCAAAGGATTTACGGTCCAGTATTCGAAAAATCGGCGATAATTCCCCAGTATCCAAAAAATCAGAATTTTTGATTCGGTAATAATACGAATCCATTTCTATCTATCTCAAAATTCCTAAGAAATTAAAATATTAGATAAAAATATATTCGTGTAGTTATTGCCGAATCCAAAATTCTGATTTTTTGGATACTGGGGAATTATCGCCGCGCCGTATCGTGATCCATTGCTAATGCCAACGTTCCGTGAATCTTACACATCACTACCAATTCAACAAAATATACCATTTAATTGTATAAAGTATAATTATAAATATTTGCTAAGAACATCTATAAAAGAAATATTTATAATATAAATACATTTTTTATTGTTATTGTTATTTATTTCCATCAATTATTTATGTTTTATCAAGTTAGCTACGAAAAAAAGAAATTATAATTACTCATAATAAAATTGTTCCTAATATAATTAATTACGCGAGTAAATATTGTGCAAAAAAGAAACATGTTTACTCTATAAACAACTTAAATTTGTACAAGTTAGCTGTTTTATTCATAGAGCTAAATAGCTTCACTAGCTAATATTTCAAAGTCTCTCAAGATGGCGTGATGAATACCTGTTTAATAACTTCAGAAAAGCAACGATAAAACCAATATACCAACAATCGCTATTCTTAATACATTTAATAAATTATTAATAATTTTTATTAAGAAATTTCTGCTATGTCACATGACATGAATTACTTGGAACTCATGTTTTGGTTTACTTTCCATTTTTATTTTAACATAATTGTACCAATCGACGAAACAGCAATAAAGTATCGGTTCGTCATCCACATCCTAAAGAGAAAATAAAATTTTCTGAATTTATATCACGAGTTATAAAAATTACCGATCTTTATCTTTCTCAGAAAAATCTTTTTCAGAATTTCTGTCTTTCTATATGTTAATATGTTTTCTTCATGCACAAGTATTGTACACCTTCATTGAAATTCATTAAGTTATTATTCTACCGATCATTAGATAACCTTAGAACTAGAACGGCCAATGTCGTAGATTCTATAGACCGAAAATAGAACCCTTATCTACATTTAAACTCAGAACACTCCTTTTTTCATTCAACGCAGAAATACATGGCCTGTTTCAAGATCCAAGACGTCATATTTACCTCTTACGTACAATAGAATTGTAAGTAAGCAATAAATTTTTTAAATCGTTCTTACGGCATTATCGGAGATCGCAGAGAGGGCGATCAACTCTTCCAAGGTAGGAATCGGTGCCAGTTCACCAATCTGCTTTTCGGTATCGATCTTTTCTTCCATTATAGAATAATCACTTTCACCAGTATCTGTACTAGACTCAGAACTTCGCGTACCTGATGTACTTGTATCTCGTTCCATCCGAATCTAAAACCACGAACATTTGCGTATTGATCTAATTAAGAATTTTAAGAAAGATTAAAAAAAGACTGTGCAAAAGATTGCTGAAAAAAATATTTAAACTGCAGTTGTAATAAAAATAAAATTAATAATCAGAATCATTCAATATCAAATTCTTTGCAAAATCATGAAGCATTATTCTTCTGAAGAATAATTATGACTTACAATTACGTAAATTACGTAAATTTTTACGTCATATATAACAAAAATACGTGCATTATAAATAAAACTAGTAATTAAAAAATATATATAACATATATCTTACGTAATACATATAATAATGAATAATTGTTTATATGTGTACGCACCCATTGCCATTGATCAAAAAGAACCCACGCTTGAATGAGGTACTGAATCATAACGAAGATCGACAATATGCACATTACAAAGTTATGAATAAAGACAGGATGCTCCAGTATTTCTTCGTCAGTAAATTCGGTAACGTCAATGTACATATCGGCGTGTTTCATCTCCATTATTCCTGTCACAAGCATCAGAATAGCTCCTGCTGCGCATACTGTGAGAGACTTGCAGGTTTATTTTTCCAGCAACGCATAATTATTTAATATAGGTAGTTAAAATTTTATTTTGTTGCATTTGTATTATGACAACTAATTCTGCGTAATGAGAAATGTGTATATTGAGTTTATAATTGGAATTTGTCATGTCCTCAGCGATTAGATATAATTATCATTATTAGAGAGAGAGGGGGGAGAGAGAGAGAGAGAGAGAGAGAGAGAGAGAGAGAGAGAGGAGCTTGAATTATGTATTAGTATTTCAAAAATACATAATAAAAATGTTGTATTTGTATTAATACCAGTTTTTGTTAAAACTTTTGTATTTAATTGTTAACATACCTGAGTGTTAATTTATTTGTGTAATTATGTTATTT